AGGGCCCAGCCCGCAGCCGGGGACGGGGTCTCTCTCCGCGGCCTCAGGCCGAGTTGCCCCCAGGCGGAGCGTGGTGCCCCGGGGCCGCTGAAGGGAGCATCGTGGTGGGCTTGCCTGGGCGAGCGAGGCGTCCCTGGGAAGCCACAGAGGCTCAAGCAGGTCCAGGCTGGGGCTTCCTGAGCTCAGGCTCTGTAGCTGGTCCCCAAAATCTCCCTGTACTTCAGCTGTCTCGGACTGACTTGTGTAACTGCTGCGGTGGTGTGAGGCCCCAGCGAAAAGGCGCTGCGCATGGTTTGCCTGGGCAATGCCTAAAAGCTGTGGTGGTGGGCCTTCTTTCAGGGAGTCATATGCCTGCTGCAACTCTGCCACTTTACCTGGCGTCCTTGCGTTTTTAGCTGATTTCAGTTTGGTATCTTTCTTCCAGACCCCCCTAAAGAAGACAAACGCTCTCATTGCGCAGATGGGAATAACCTTCCTAAATGCAGTAAGTGTTTACATTAACTCTCTGAACTTCTGAGGTATGTGTATTTCTGTAGTTTGTGTCTGAAGTAATCTAAAATCTCAGAACTGGTAGTAGTTTTGTGAAGTCTGTACGTATGTGTATAGGTTTTTTTAAATTCAGTGTCTAACTACTTTTAGGTCTCAAAATGAATATAGCTCTAGGTCATGTTCAGAATCTGAGAGGGAGAGTTTCACTTCCTAAAATTACTTGTTCTGACTTCCTTAAGCTGTAGAGTAAAACTGAGTAATATGAATATTTTTACTAAAAACTGAGAAGTGTTAGAAGAAGCTACTTAAAACTTTGAGCTTCATGCACGCTGAAAACCCACTTTACTCTTGTATTCTAATGTATTGCCGTGGCTAAAATACTGGAGTGAATCAACTGACAAACAGTATTTTAGTGGACAGTTGCTACTGTGTAAGAACGCATCTAATCTGAGGGGGCCGGGAAGATTGAAGGCCATGTGCTGCAGAAACTTAAAACCAGTTTCACGTGCAGCTTTTCACTAGTGAAAATACTTGGGCTGTAATTCTGTATTTCCAGAAAGAAGTATGCTTCAATGTTGGTGAACTTTTTAATCAACCTATTGCCTGATATTTCAAACCTAAATTTTGAGGAAAAATTGTTTTACATTGTCAGTCTTGTATCTCTTTTTTTGGTCCTTCCAGTACGTTCCCAGTGCACTTTGCTGTCCCAGTCGAGCTAGCATTTTAACAGGAAAATACCCGCATAATCATCATGTTGTCAATAACACCCTCGAAGGAAACTGTAGCAGCAAGTTATGGCAGAAGATTCAGGAACCGTACACCTTCCCAGCGCTGCTCAAAACTATGTGTGGTTATCAAACATTCTTTGCTGGAAAGTATTTGAATGAGGTATTTTGTGGTTTGTTTTTTTTTATTTTTATTACTGAGACACAGTTTATTTGCATTTATCCACCTTTCTAGAACATTCACTGATTTTTACATTTGTAGCTGATGGTGGGTCCCCAAAATGTTTAAAATGGTGTTATTTGGATGAACAGTTCTTTTTGGGATAAATATGATGCAAAGTTCAAATCTTTAATTTAACTTAACTTGGTTAAAATCAGGCTCTGTAGGTGCCTGGATGTTTTTAAAAGTTAGTTTTGAAAGGCTGATGGAATCCAAAGGCTTTTTTAGTGTGCTCAGATGTGTTAATTTTTAGAGATGATTATTTTAATGACTGGGGGAAACGGATAGATGGTTGACATGTGGTATTGAAGAACACCATCAAGCCAGTGCCAGACCAAGCACAATGTTAGAATAATGTTAAAGAAAAAAATTGGTTAGTCTCAGTATTCTTGACTGATCTAGCCCCTTGAATCAGAGGACTATTTTCTTTTTAGTAGTTAATATGGTGTTTAAAATATTAAATGTCCACTGAGGCAAATTCATCAGGAGAACAGAAATTATCAGAGCTCTTCACAGAGGTTACTCAACGCTTTATTATTGAATCACTTGTACGTGCGTGCTTTTGTTTTTTTCTGTTTTTAACTAAGCTGTGGTTTGTAGGAGTTTATGGTAAGCTGTAAAATTCAGCACTGAAGTCTTTAAGATCAGGTGTTCCTCTAGTGTGATGTAACTGTGTTTGGAGCTAGATGAGTTACAGGGTTCTTAACAGCATTATTTTCCTTGTATCTCTTGATGGAAAATGGGGGTATAATAGAATAAAGGAACGTGGATTTTCATAGCCAGGCACGAATTTGTTTCTGCTGATGTTACTGAGGCAGTGAGGGGAAGGGAAACTTAGCTGGCTTCCTCCGAGCATCCCTTGACTCAGCATAGTCTCCTGTCCCCGCAGTTGGGCGAGCCATGTAGATGGGAGAGGGCAGCCCTGAGAAAACCCGTTGTGTTGCTCTGAGGCATCCTCTGTCTTGAGTTTGGCACTGATTCAGCAGCTACTTCCCCTTTTTTTTGCTGGCTTAAAGGCTAGTTGTTGCAGATTATTTGGCACCAAGGTGACAGGAGGCTAGCATTGCTGGGAAGTTTGCACCCCCTTTTTGGGGAGGATGACGGAAGCTGTTGGTCTTTGTGAAGTTTTCTTTAGTATCTTGTGAACTGTTATCACAAAGCTTAAGGGTGTCTTGTTGCTTGCATGCTTTGATCACGTCTCATTACCTGATGAAGTACCATATGTTCTCCAGGATCTCTGCGTATTTTCATGTGCAGAGTAGAACAGAGAATAAAACTTAAATTTTATTGGTGAACGCCAAGCTCTCAGTTACTGTCTTTCTAGTTATTTAACCATGGTCTTTTCAACAAGCTGTACATATGTTCTTATATGCATATATGTTGGTTTTCTTATTCTGAAACTGAATTTGGCTTAATGAGGTTTCTGACTAGTGTTGAATAAAGCACATGAATATTCAACATAATTTCTAGCTTTTATTCATCATAATTGAAACTGTGAGTCACGGTCTGTCTTTTTTTCAGTACGGAGCAGAGGATGCAGGGGGAGTAGGTCATGTCCCTCCTGGATGGAGTTTTTGGTATGCTTTGGTACGTCACTGTTCTTTTTTAAAATACTTAATTTCAGTTGCTTTTTAGTTCAGCTCGTGTCCTAACTTCGCTGGTCGTGAAAGAGCAGACAAATAGTATCTAACAACTTAATGCAAATTTTCTTTCCTTTTTTCCTCTATTGCGTGTCAGATCCTTGACTTTCACAAAAGCTACTCCTCCTAAGGTGCCTGGGGAAAAAACTCTATTTGTAAAGCCAAAGCAATGTGAGATAGCACTAAGATGAGTTGTGTTGTTGGAGACCAGTTCTGAGAATTCTTGTGGTGTCCTTGTGGCAAATGCTTAGAACCTAGAAAATGCATATTGCCAGCTCATTTTGATTATTCCAAGTAATCAATGTCCATGTTACTTTGCATAAATATGCACGCGACTTTTCTTTTTCACAGGAGAAAAATTCAAAGTACTACAACTATACTCTTTCAGTAAATGGCAAAGCACGAAGGCATGGTGAGAACTACAGTGTAGATTATCTGACAGATGTACTGGTAAGAAATTTTGCAACACCTGTGTTATAGAAACTGCTTATGACCAGATAATGCCTCATGCTGGGGGCTTGGGGAAGGGTGGGGATGATAATTTGTTAGGCTGTATTAGTTCATAAATACATGATTGTGCTGTCGTGACGGTGGGTGGGCATTAATCAGCAGAGCAAGATTCTGGGAATATTTAGAAATGAAAAGTTTGTGTGCATGAGCTGTGGAGAGGGAAGGGGGTTCCAACTGCCCATTTGCTAGCCAGTAGCCTCACTGAGAGGTAAATACTGACTGCTGTGGTGCATGAGGAACATGATGCATGTAGGCAATGTCTTAAATTACTTCATAGGAGGATATATTTCATTACAATACACAACAGATTAGCTGGGCCAAGATTTCAGTGGGAAGTTGAGCGTGTAAAAATAACTTCACACCATGTTTTGTTTGTTAGATATGATGTGTCAGTATCTTGTGATCTTTTAACTAGTCAAACTGATAACTTGGAGATATCAAAGGCTAATCAATCCTTCATACTGTGTGAGGGCAATATATGGACTGTGCCAAAATGTGTAGCTGACTAGGGGAGTCGTCAGTGTTTTTATGCTCTTGAGGTAAAGAGAGGTAACAAAGATAACAAATACTTAAAGGAAAGTTGGAAGAGTTACTTGAGCTCTCTTGAGGCCCTGTTTAGCAAGTAATATTAGCTTGGAGGGTTTTTTTGGGGGGGAGAAATTGTTCCCCCTGCCCACCAAGCTGGAGTCTTGATTTGACATGCTGTTACAGTGTATGAGTAGGTAGTGCTGGGAGCTCACATGCAGCACTCGGGGAAAATTTGTCTCCGAGAAGTCCCCTCGTGCAGTCGATTTCTGGTTTTCCATTGAGACCCTAATGAGTTTCATTCCAGTGGGTTCTTGAACATCAACAGCTGCCTACTAGGAACAGAACTGGTTGATGTTTCTTAGGGTACCGAACAGCTGTCTGATTAAATTTAGATTTACACTGTCTAAATTGGAATTGGATTGAATCTGATTGGAATTGATAAGCCAGAAGTGAGACTATCCTATTACTGGCATTGTACGGGTCTTTTCTGATCCTTCAGCAGCTCGTAAGCATTTTGACCAACAGGTCATTGATGCATAAACCTCTTACTTGTGGTGTAGTACTTGTTGATACAGCAGTGTATTATGATTTTCAGTGTGTTGCATTCTACCTTCTGTCTGTAGTTACCAAATATGTATTCAGCATTTGAGAGCTAGTGTTTCATTCACTTGATGGGCAGTGCACAGGACTAAGTTGTTTATGCAAAGTCCCTACGTTACTTGATGTGATGCACAAGCTTTTTTGTCCTGACTAAGGACATCTGTGTACTTAAGTCTGGTATTTTAAGAATCTGAATATCTGAATCTGTCTGCTGCAGTCCTGACATGTAGCAGTTTAAGCTCCTAACAAAACCTAAGCTGACTACCTCTATGAATTTGCCTACATCATACTGGTTTCTAAACCAGGTTTTTGAACTTCACGCTGTTCTTATATGACAATAGAGTTAACGGAGAATAACTGGTGTCCAGCCCTACCTGTTTAGATGTACAAGTTAGGAGGAAGGAAGAGGAGGGAATTCCTTGTGTATTACTTCTTCTAGAGGGAAAAAAAAATTATATACAAAATGGGATATACTAATCAGACAGGAAAGGAAAATGTTGCAAGATTTGAATAGTGAAGAACTCCTCTGTGAGTAATACCTATGAAGCTATAATTTTGAAGGCTAACCAAGGGAAGGCCAAAATGGAACTCACAATCGCTTCTAACTTGCTACTTGAAATGAAAATGAAAGTCAGTGAAGTGGCGTGAGTGAGTGGAGTCTGGCACTCTCCTTCACTAGAGCTTCCAGCTTCACCAGCAAAAAGGTGGCACCACTTAAAAATGAGGAGCTTGCTACAGAATGAGCCTATGCTATAAACAGTGGGGCTGAAAAACTTTTTCAGAACTATTGCTATTTCTGAAGACATTTGAAACTGCTAAGCTGTGATCTGTCAGGCAGGAGATGGCATCTGAGAGCCTCAGAAAGACTCAGATTGTGTTAGAGGAAGCTCCAGTTTTACTTGATGAAAGCAGAGTTTAGGTGGATTTTGTTGATACTTGAAATAAGCACAAACTTTTGATGAGCTTTCCAGGTCTAAATAATGCAAAGGTCTGAAGTAGAAAGCCGTTCAGAGATATGGGACAAATGATTTGTTTAACATGAACACTTGGGATTTTCGTATCACTGAGCTGCTGTTTACCCAGAGCTGCTCTTCTGGACGTTTGTAGATGAGCAAACACTAAGTTTCTGAGAGTTTAAATGTTCCCAGTACTACCTAGCTGTAAATAGGTTATGAATGTGTAGTTTGGATTTTTCAAATACTCGCTGTTTTCCTTTGGAGGTGTGACTTTTCTTCTTCCAACAAAACTGTTCACAGGCCAACATGTCATTGGACTTCTTGGAGTATAAATCTAATTTTGAACCTTTCTTTATGATGATCTCAACCCCAGCACCACACTCCCCTTGGACTGCTGCTCCACAGTATACGAAGAGCTTTCAGAATGTCAGTGCACCAAGAAACAGCAATTTTAACATTCATGGAAAGGTAAGCTAACTAGCAAGAATCTGCATAGGTTATTCTACTAGATTGCGAGAGCAGTAGGCAGTGACCCTGACTTGCACGTTAAGTTTAAACAGCAAGAAGAATAGGCTAATACCATGACTACTGGTTATTTAGTTATGTTAATCAGCTTTTCAGGGTAAGATATGTTTATTGTGACTTTGAGATATTTGTATACTAATATCTTGTAAATAAACAAAATTGCAGTGGCAAAAATAAGGCAGTACAATGCAATTATGATTGATAAATGCAAAAAAGTTAATTCCCTGTCCAATTTCCAGACTGTTCTGAAGCTCTTAAAGTGTTGTTTCATTGCTCTCGGTATGTTCGGGAGAACACATAGGTAATGCGCTGCACAAAGGCTCCCGGAAAGAATGAGGTGAGCCCTGTCTTCCGGCTCACATCTGCTCATGTGGGTGGGTGGTCAATTACTTGAGCTTACAGCAAAGCTGCCCCTAGTTGACGAGCGTATTGGGCTAACCAGAGGACTTAGTGAAATCATGAACTACAGGGCCCGGGTTCGCTAAGGACTTCAAAAACTTGCCTTATATTTATTGAAGTAACCTGTAACCAGAATTGCTGAGCCTAATGTTACAAACTCACAGACATCCTTGTGGCAGGGCAGCGCCTTCCACTGCCAGTAAACTTGGCCAAATATGGTCTAGCTCAGACTAATCCGCTGCTACTTACTCTGCCAATAAGTGAAAGTGAAAGTCACAAACAGTTAATCTGGTGAAATATTTAACTTGGAGGTCTTGTTGTTTTGATTCAGTTAGTTTCAAATGTAGATGTCGTGGTTTAGGCCGAACCAGCTAATGTTCAGCGTTCAACTGATTCACTTCAAGATACCATTGCCTCAATGCCTGTCGGTAGCAGCACAGTGACACCTCTTCTAAGGGCACTGTGACTCTTGTACTACAGGGTGAAATTTGTTTTTAGCTGGGGATTGTAGTTTGCAAAATGACCATGTGCTTATCAGCATGATATAAAAACATGAATGAAAGGGGAGAAGAGGATTGCAAGCAGTAACGAATACTTTAGTCCAACCTGTTAATTATCGAACTAGGGAGTGGGAATCAGACTTCTTTTTTGTCCATAAAAGGATCCTTAACTTTGTCTTAGACTCCATCACTGTAATAACGGAATGCTTTTAAAATAGTGAGCCAGAAATAACTTGACCAGCAAAGTCAGCAGCTAGCCAAAAAAATAGTGCAGGAATTCCCTTATGTGGGGCAAAAGCTCTGCATATGCCTATATAACACAAAGCAAAATAACAGACTTAATGTTTGGTAGTTAATGTCTGTGGATACAGCGCTCTTACAACGTTTCACAATAGGAACAGACTAGCGTTACCCTTCTTAGACACAAAATAGCTACGATCATTAACAGTGGGCATTTCTGTAATTGGCGGTTTTGTGATCTTGAAGCCTAACTCTTTGAGCTTCACTGTTTTCTAGGGCAAGCACAGTTCCTGCAATAGCAATAAACATGTACGTAGGCTCAGACCCTCAAGTCATTGATGTTGTAATGCTTGCTAGACAGTCTCGCATTGTACAGTCTTGATTCCTAAATTAATGTTGACTAGCTTCCTTATACAGTATGTGGGCCAGGGGTACTAAAAGGAGCCATCTAGGCAGAATGTCTGCATGAAAAACAGGAGTTAAGTTGTTGTAAGAGTCTGGCTAGCGATGTGCGCTTTAACTTGTGCTTAGGATCCTCAGCTGTGAACTATATCGAATGATGGGTCGCTGTCTGGTTTCCCAAGCAGGACTATTGATAGCCCAGATGAGTGTTTTATCTAAGCTGTTCTGAGAGACAAGCTGATAAAGATCTGTGTTGGGTGTTTCTCTTGCATGCATTGTTTTTCCTGCATGTTTGGAGCACAGATGTGTTCAGCTGGCAAGATATGGTATGCTGTCTCAAGATCTCCTAAAATTTCTTTGAGAATGCGACACAGGGAGGCAGGAGGGTTGGTGGACAGCTTTGTACGTAACCGGCGAAAGAGACTTGATAGGGACTGACATGGAAGCAGATTTGAGGACTCTGAGTCAGTGTGAAGTTTATTGAAATCCACAAAGGTGTTTAGGTGCTGTGTGAAGTTTTTGAAACTTCAGAGAAAGGTCAGAAGAACAAAATACTCCAGAAAAGAGGAAGATTCTACTGCACTAGGTGACTTATCCACCTGAGTTACCCAGCGTGGTTGTGCCTCTCTTAAGCCTGCCTCTTGTGAAAGGTGGCTGATGCACAGGTGACATTGCCAGCTCCTTTGTTCTCTGAAGTACTTCTGCTGAACTGGGGATGGTATTTGTGATGTCTTTCCTTGTTTTTTTTTCATCTCAACCTACACACAAGTCCTAGATGTTTGGTCTTGATTATGCTGTGTTTTCTTGCTGAGACAGACTTAGCATCTCTTCAGAGAATTATTTTACAACTACTATAAAAGAGAGATCTGAATACAACTGAATTAAAATAAACTGGACAAGGCTCCATGCCAAAAATCTTTCCTTGAATCGGCAAGTACTGAAAACAGGGGAACTGAATAATTGCAGAAGATATGAGTCACTTCATTGTGAGTTCCTAAAGCCTGAGCCTGTTCAGAGTCATTTGCTTGTGACAGGAGGAAAATTGCGTAATGAGAGGAGTGACCGACTAAATACAGGCTCAAGGTGAGGGTGATGAGAGGGTCATCTCTGACCTACTAAATGAAAAAGTATAAAGCTGCATTGACATAACTTTCTCCTTTATTCTGCTTCCCACTAATACTAACCTTCAGGGTGGTCACAACAGACCTTCCCGTGTGTGTACAGCAGCTGACCCACTTCAGACTGGTGCTTCAGGAAGTGGGAGTATCACTTTTCATATGAGTTAAATCATCTCTCTTACTGCGGGGGAATGGGTGAGGGGAGAAGGGAGGGGCTGTTTCTGAGAGTCAGTGATGCGGCTAGAAGAATCAATAAGGTTTCCGCTAAAGAAGTGATCTTGTTCTGGAGTCAAAAAATACAGATAAAATGGTAATGTTTCTGCACCCCTCAGTAGTCTCCAGCCCTGAGTTCACAGGCTACCAAGAATCTGGTAGTGTCACTGTCGCAGACCTTTTTCCTTACCTGTCCATAAATTAGGTAGTCCTAATTGCTTTTGATGCAGGAGTTTCTCCCCACCTCTCTACCTATGCTAGGATGCTCACCAGTCATAGTCCCCAAAAGGAGCTCACTTTGACAACCGAGTCCAATCTTAAAATGCTGCTCAATCCTTCAGATTTTTTCCATCAGACCTGTCTCAGGCTATCAGACTGTTTCATCTCTGGGAGAGCCTTCCCTAGCTCCTTTCACAAATTTCTTCCCTGA